TTATAAAAACTCTGTGACCTATTAACTGAACGATTTCTGAGAAGCGAAGCTCAGAAATAATACCTCCCAATACATGAAACCCTTCATTAGTAATCATGGCCACTCTTCATTCAGGTATCTCCTTCATGATCCCACTCTCCCTTTGCTCAGTCCTCTCTCCTAGATGCTCTGTGGAAAGGGTTGGAGTTAAAGAGTAGAATCTGGAGTTCATATTTATTAATTAATTCATTCATTCACTATGGAGAAGAATAAAGGGGGGGATAAAGGAGATAGTATGGAGTCCCTACATGGTGCAAATGGTTAAGTGTTCGACTACTAACCGAAAGGTTGGCAGTTCAGACCCACTCAGAGGCACCTCAGAAGGCCTGGTGACATGCTTCCAAAAGGCCATAGCCTTGAAAACCCTACAGAGTAGTTCTACTCTGCACTAATGGGTTGTCATGAGTTGGAATCAACTTGACAGCAACCAACAACAGCAACAAAAGAGATAATAATGTAGGGATTGAGGTGGGGTTATTGGACATGCCCAGGGGCAGTGAAGGAGCAAGCCACATGGAAATTAAGGGGAAGAATGTTTCAAGAGGAGGGACAAGAAGTGCAAAGACCTAAGGTAGGGTGGGTTTAGTGTATTTGAGGAACAGCAAGGACCAGTGTGGCTAGAGGGCAAAGGTGGAGAGTAGTCAGAGAGGAGGCCAGAGCCAGAGTGAGTGGCCAGATCCTATAGGGCCTTGCTGGCAATTGTAAAGACTGCAGTTTTTACTAAGAGTGAAATATACCAGCTCTGGTGTGCCCCTAGAAACTGAAGCATGGTGCTCTTCAAGAGAAGCATCAGGATCCATAAATGGTAGGGTCTGGGCCCTATGCACAGAAGACTAGCCTCTGGCTGATAAAGACTTCAATTTATTAAGGCAGCTTACACCATCCAGAAGATCCCAGGACTAATGAGCTTAACACTGGGTTAGATGCTGTTTTAATGCCCTGAGCCTCTGGATACAGGTTAGACACTCCATTCAACTGGCAAAATCTAAAAGCAAGAGGAAGGAGCAAGAAGTTGCATACTGTAGAAAAAGAACCTAACTTTGGAGATAAAAAAGACCTAGATTTGAATTCGAATTCTACAGTAGCTGTGTGACCTTAAGCCAATTCATAACCCCTCTGTGGTGTGATGGATCACTTTTGTGTGGCCTTTCTCACCATGGTTTTGTAACTCCCACCAAATGATTGAGTGGGATCATGCTAATAAGGTATATGGAACCCTAACAAGGGGTTTGATCAGTTTTGCCATCCTGATACGCTTACAAGAGAGTCAATTCCAGAGCAGAGAGAGCATATCACCACTGCTAAGGAAGAAGAGCCAAGAATGGAATGCATCCTTTGGACCCAGGATCCCTGCAACCAGGAGAGAGAGAGAGCTGTAACACTGAAGACGGTGAGAAGTGGTGGCAGAAGAAACTGGCAGGTGATGGCACAGTGGACTTCCCAGCCCACAGAGCAAGAAAGCTGAGTGTCTTTGAGCTGAGGGTTACTGGTGGAGTAGGATGCTTCTGGGAACTTATTGACAGAGCTAAAGGAGCTTTGTAATACTTACTCAAGTAGGACAGAGGCTGAGGGGCCAGAGAAGAGGCCAGGCAGCTGAGAATAGGCTGCTGTGATGGAAGAACTGTATCCTGAGTGTTTCTGAATCTGAATCGTAACCTGTTACCTCCCTAATAAACCCATAATCGTTGAGTATTATCTGTGAGTTCTGTGTGGCTATTGCAATAAATTATCAAACCCAGCAGAGAAGTAGAGAGTACTGTGGGAGGGACAGTTGATGTCAGAATTGGTAAAGATGGCGGAGAGAGGAGGCATGTCTTACCTCACCTCATAGGAATCAGCCTTGGGCTACTGATCTTGATTCTTCCTCCCCCTTGGGAAGTTAGAAGAAGTCAGACGCAGGCCCCAGGCCATTTTTACACCCTCTGGACCTCCAGTTTCCTTAACTGGGAATAACACTAGTAGCTACCAGATAAGATTATTGTGACTACAAAGATAATGTAAATCGTGTCTTTTGCACAGTTCTTAGCAAGTGCTCAATTATCGTTAGCTGGTAGAATAGACTGGATTTGAATACCAGTTCTTTCACTTGGACAAGACCATTCATTTGGCCAAACCTGTTTTTCCATCTATAAGGTATAATATTATCTGCCTACCAAAATCAGGGGGTAGAGAAGGGTACTGCTGCTCATTTAAGTCAACCATGAGTTCTCAGAGAGACTGACCTGGAAGTAGAAAGAGCCACGGACCTAAATCCAATACCTGAGTAAGTGATCTGGTGAGGCCTAACTTTTCTGCTTTTTAAGACATGTTTCAATTTCAGGCTTTTGGAATAACAATTGTATTTGGCAAATTATCCTTTGAAATCCTCTTTTGTCATTTGCAAATTGAGGATGATAATCCTTAATGTACAGGAGTGAAGTGAGAACTATAAGTAATGTTCATAAGTCACCTGGCATAACGCTTGCTATGGTAGGGACTGGGGGAGGGGGTGGTGGCAGCTATTATTATTTTTGCTTATGACAAATCTCTCCAGTAGAGAACATGCTTAATGTCCAGTTGGGTGTCTAAACAGCAAAGAGACCTAATCCTTGCAGCATTTCAACTTCCCTCGCCCTGAGCCTGCTTTTCCCTCTCTGCCCCTCAGTTGGCGCCTTTTGCCACCCGTTTTCTCCCAAGCCGGCTGTGGGGGCTGCGGTCGCTCCGCAGCTCTCAGGTCACGTGGCCTGCCGGAGCGAGGGGAGCTCCACGCCGGCGCCACACCGCGGGAAGAAGTGAGGCTCTTGCTCCTCTGGGTCCGGAGATGGCGCCTCCTTGGGGATAAAGCCCGCCAGCCTGGCCGACACCGGAGGCAGCCTCTGGGGTGCGCCGGGGGACACAGCCGCCCCCACTGGGTAGGTTTTCTCAGCGAACGATCTGCCCAGCCCCTTTAGCACGGTGGCTGGGGCGCCCACCCCGGAGAAACACCACAACAGGGGTACAAGGATTAGGGGTGGTCGTGGCTGGCACTGGAGAGCAGCTGCAAGGGATGGGGCAGCTCGGGAAGGGCCTGCGTCCCCGGCCGTCTGCCCTGACTAGCAGGCCTCGCCCGTGGCGGCAGCGGTTTCCTGCCGGAAGACTGCCGGGAGACCACCGGCGTCCCTGGACGCGCGGGTGCCCATCCCAGCGTCTGGGGACCCCCAGGGGGCGTTCTTCGCGCGGCCGGGGCGAGCGTCAACGCGGGGATAAAGGACTGTCGTGGTAGGGCGCCTCCCGACCCCTCGTCCGCGTCAGTTGCGCGCGAGCCAGGCGCGAGGGAACCCAGGTAAGCCCCCGCTCCCGCTGGGCCCAGCCGGGCGGATCCACCTAATGGCTGCCGGCGCGCGGCGGCCCCGCGCCGCGAGTCTGCCCCACAGGCACACCCGTTAGGCTCAAGTAGCGCGACGACCGTGTTGGATTTCTGCGGGCCACTGCTCAGTCCGGGGCCAGGAGAGGCGACCGGGCAGTGGAAGGCGTCCTTCCTAGCTCCCGGAAAAAACGTCGGGACGGCCAGCCCAGGCCGAAAGGGTGGGGAGACTGAGGCCCGAGCGCGGCGGGGACTGCCCAAGGTGAGCAGCAAACGCCAGATCCCGGAGTTTGGTCTTCCACCCTGATTCTCTTTCCCAGAAGGTTAGTTAGGATTAGGCTTGTCTTGCCCTCCTCCTGGCCTCTCGGCGCGGGCGTCGCTGATGCCGCACTGCGCCCATGGTGTCCCGAGGTGTCTCGGGGCGTGAGCTCTTGCGGGGTCGACGTGACCGGGACACCCCCAGCTCGGCCCACGCTCCCTTACAGGGAACCGCTGGGCGGCTGCATTGATGATCTCACTCAGCGGACCATTAGCAAAACCTGCAGGTGTCTGTGCGCGTGTATATTTCCCCTAGCGAACTAACACTTGTAAGGGGGAACAGCTTTTTTTGGGCAGGGGGTGCATTTCTAAAGTGCACTGCGCCAGGTACTTTGAAAAGTGAGAAAACTGTGTGTCTAACACCTGATGTATTCGATTTTTTTATAAAGGATAAGCTTATTACAAAACATTTAGGAAACAGAAAAACATAAAGTAGATAATAAGGATAAGTTAAAAACCCATTTTATAGATTGGATTTTCTGGATATATTAATCTTTTTTTTCTACATACAGGTGAACTTTTATAACATGGACCAAAAAATGGTACCTTGTTTCAATTTTCGACTTTGATTACTCGTGGGACTCAATATCTTTCTTCTGTGTATTGCCCTGTTGGATTTGTCTGGGTGAACTGACTAATTCTTTTTGCCCATTTCTTAGTTGCAGTGTCTTTCTCTTCCTGATTTCTAAACAGTCTTTAGTAATTCTCTGTTCTATATGTTGCACAGGTTTTCCAAGTTTGCTTAATATTGTTTTGTCAGTTTTTTGACCATACACAGGTTTAACTTTTTTGTTTCGTTAAATCTATCGGTCTTTTTCTTTATGATTTCTGCTTGAGGATCTTGCTGAGAAAGGCCTTCCCTAACCCAAGTTTATATAAACATTCTCCTGTATTTTCTTCAAAAAATTTTTCTTTAAAAAATTAGGTGTGGAATTTTTCTTCTAGTTTAAGTTGTAAAGTGGGGAGAGAATTTTATTTTCCCTGAATGGGTAACCAGTTGCTGCAAAGCCAGTACCCCTGATAGCTACAGTTATGATAGATTAAATTATTACATATTTGCATCTGGGTATGGATTTTTGCATCTATTTATCTGTGTATTTTAATGTCAGCACCACGTTGTTTTAATTAGTGAAACTTTATAGTAGGTTTTAATATCTGGTAAGGCAGCTTTTATCACCTAACATCATAATTTTCCTGGCTCTTTTTTTTAAAATAAACTTTATTGAGGTATAGTTTACATACAATCAAATGCACCATTTAAATGTATACTCCAATGACTTTTTAGAGATTTATACACCCATGTAACCACTATCACAATGAAAAAATTATGGAATACTTCATAAACTTAATGTAATTGTTGCACAGGAGTCATGTGAAACTTGTTTGTATCCTTCCAATTTTAGTATATGTGCCACCAAAGCAAGCATTTTCTGGCAGTTTTTGCTGGCTCTAAGTCCACATGTGTCTTAGTCATCTAGTGCTGCTATAACAGAAATACCACAAGTGGATGGTTTTAACAAAGAAAAGTTTATTCTCTCACAGTCCAGTAGGCTGCAAGTCCAAATTCAGGGCATCAGCTCCAAGGGAACGCTTTCTTTGTCAGCCCTGGAGGAGGGTCCATGTCACCAGTCTTCCCTTGGTCTGGGAGCTTCTCTGTGCAGGAACCTCAGGTCCAAAGGACACGCCCTGCTCCTGGCACTGCTTTTTTGATGGTATGAGGTTCCCATGTGTCTCTGCTCGATTCTCTCTTTTATATCTCAAAAGAGATTGGCTTAAGACACTGTCTAATCTTGTATACCCATCAGTATAACTGCTGCTAATCCATCTTATTAGATCATAGTGATTGAATTTACAACACATAAGGAAATCACATCAGATTAGAAAATGGTACACAATTATACAATGCTGGGAATCATGACCCAGCCAAGCTGACAGATATTTTTGGGGGACACAATTCAGTCCATGACACTATGGAAAAGGACATCATGTTTGGTAAAGTGGAGGGTCAATGAAAACAAGGGAAACAGTCAAAGAGATGGATTGACAAAATAGCCGTGACAGTGGTCTCAAACATACCAGCGATCATGACGATGGCACAGGATCTGGCAACGTTTTGTTCTGTTACACATCGTGAGTCAGAACCAACTTAACGTCAGCTAGCACAAGTCCACATGATCTTTAGAATACTACAGTCAAGTTTACCAGCATTCCCTCTTTCCACCAGAAGAAACAGGCAAAATCATGTTTGGATTTCTATTGTGTTTTTGATAACAAGGGTGCTGGGAGTAGGAGCCTAGACTCTCTTGTTTACCATCCCAGTACCTGGCACAGGACTCAGTTTTTGTTCACTTGAATGTTTAAGAATGATCATAAATGTATGTATGCTATTTGCAGAAACGTAGAAAGCAAAACCAGAAACCACCAACCCCGTATCTTTCCCCTCTCCTCCACTAAATTACATCCTCCATTGAAAATAAAATGGGATTCATCAAAGGACTTTATTTAAAAAGTGAAAAGACATGCTACAGATTAGAAGAAAATTTTGGGGAACCGTATATCCAGTACCCCTAAACCAAACTCACTGCCATCGTGTAGATTCTGACTCATAGCGACCCCATTGGGTTTCCAAGGCTGTAAATCTTAAAAGAAGCAGACTACCACTTCTTTCTCCCACAGGGTGGCTGGTGGTTTCGAACCACCAACCTTCCAGTTAGCAGTCAATCATTTTACCCACTGCTTCACCAGTGCTCCTTATGTATTCAGTAGGGGACATAAGGGTCTATATATCTTAAAAACAAAAAACTTCTACAACTTAATAACAAAAAGGCAAACAACCTAATCAAAAAATGGACAAAAGACTTGAACAGACATTTCACCAAAGAGGGTATTCAAATGGCCAACAAGCACACAAAAAGATGCTAAACATCGTTAACCCATTGCCATCGAGTCGACTCCGACTCATAGCAACCCTATAGGACAGAGTAGAACTGCCCCATAGTGTTTCCAAGGAGCAGCTGGTGGATTCGAACTGACAACCTTTTGATTAGCAGCGAAGCTCTTAATACTGTGCTACCAGGGCTCCAATTGTCATTAGCTATTAAAAAAAAAACAAAACAACCCATTGCCATCAAGTTGATTCCAACTCATGGGGATCCCATATGTTTATAGAGTAGAACTGTTCTGTAGGATTTTCTTGGCTATAATCTTTACAGAAGCAGATTGCCAGGCCTTCTACCATGGTGCTGCTGGATGGGTTTGAACCACCAACCTTTAGTAGGTTAGTCGAGCACCAACCATTTGCACCACCCAGGGACCATTAAACCAAAACCAAACCAAACCCATTGCGATCGAGTCGACCTCCTGCTCATAGTGACCCTATAGGGCAGGGTAGAACTGCCCCATAGGGTTTCCAAGGAGTGGCTGGTGGATTCGAACTGCTGACCTTTTGGTTTGCAGCCGTAGCTCTTAACCACTTTGCCACCAGAGCCCGTTAGGGAGATGCAAATCAAAACCACAATGAGATATCACCTCACCCCCATTAGAATGGCAATGATTAAAAAATGGGAAACAACAGGTGTTGGCGAGGTTGTAGAGAAACTGAACACTCATCTATTGCTGGTGGGGATGTAAAATGGCACAACTACTGTGGAAAACAGTTTAGTGGTTCCTTAAAAAGTTGAACATAGAATCACCATACGGCCCAGCATTCCCAGTCCTAGGTGTATTATACCCAGAAATGAAAGCAGAAATGCAAACAGAAGCCTGTGCACCAATGTTCACTGCAGGACTTTTCACAATAGCCAAAAGGTGGAAACAACCAAAACGTGTTATATACACATAATGGAACACTACTCAGCCATAAAAAGAAATTAAGTCTTGATGCATTCTACAGCATGGATGGACCTTGAAAACATGCTTAGCAAAATAAGTCAGTCACAAAAGGACAAATACTATCTCACTTACATGAAATAAGTAAATAAACCAAAGATGATTAGTGGTTACCAGAGCAGGAGGAAGGGGGAAGTCGGGAATTTTTGCTTAGAGGGCATTGAGTTTATGTTAATGGTGGTGGAATAATTCAGAAAAGGATAGGAAGAATGGTTGCATAACTTGAAGAACGTAATCAGTGTCGTTAAATTATGTAGAAATTGTTGAAATGGCATGTTTTGTTGTATACATTTTCACCACAATAAAAATAGAAAATGAGATTGTGATATGTACATTTTTCTACAACTTTGGCATGGTTTGCGTTAAAGACCTAGTTAAGACACTGATTATGTCAACGTATCTAAACCTTTCTTTTCCTTTTTAATGTCTACATAGCATTCCCTTGTATAATTATCTAAAAATCGGTTCCCTGTTGCTGGGCATTTAGTCTGTCTAGAGTTTTTTCTTTCTGTTTTTTTTTTTGTTTCCTTCCTCTTCCCCACCGCCCCCCCTTCTGTTATCCACACAAATGTAGTGCACATTCCTTGTCCGTCTTTGGTGTAGCATACGTTGCCATTTCTGTAGGGTGGATTCCTAGAAGTAGAATTGTTATGTCAAAGGGAATGCGCATGTAAAATTTTTATAGATACTGCCCAACTTTCCCTCCAAAAGACTGGACCAGTTAATATGAAAGGGCCCATTTCTTGAACTGGGCTACTCCCTCTTTTAAAGTAAATTGGATTGAGATTGTTACATATAGAGATTATGTTAAGTGTAGACAGAAAAGGGGGAAAAGGACCTCTTTCCCTCTTTCTGTTACTTAGCCTTTCTAGTTGGGAAAATGTTATTTTTCTCCACTTACTAAGGACTTTTTAAATGTCTTTCAGTAGAATTATGGAGTATGTATTCTACATGTTTATCATTTATTTGTAGGTATTTTAGCTTTTTGTTTTCTATTTTGACTGGGATCTTTTATTCCATTAATTAATTGGTGATTGTCTACCTAGATAAAGTATTTATGTAATGTGTATGTGTGTACTTATATATTATTATTGCTTATTAATTCTGTTACCAACTATGTTCCCAAAGTCTGTTTCCTTTTTTAAAAAAATTTTTTAAAATATATTTTTATTGACTGGATTTTAATTTACTTTATTTAATGCATTTTTTTTTATTCCCCATTCTCCCTGTCTCCCATCCCCTGGTAACCACAAATCTTTTGTTTCAATGGATTTACTTATTCTAGATAGTTCATGTAAGTGGGATGATACAATATTTGTCCATTTGTGCCCATCTTGTTTCACTTAGTGTGTTGTTTTCAAGGTTCATCCAGGTGGTGGCCTGTATCAGAACTTTATTTCTCTTTATAGCTGAATAATACATTACCATTTTTCATGGTTCTTCAGCTGACCTTCTTGGGCTGCCAATCTGTGCAGAGACAGTACTGCATATTGGTTGAGAACATGAACTCTGCAACCAATCTGCCTGGGTTGAAGTCTTGCCACCCCTTATAAAAGCTTTGTTAATTTTGGCTACAAGTAGACTGTGCCTCAGTTTTTTCATGTATAAAATGGATTTAATAATAGACCTTAACTCCCACTCTTTTTATGAGGATTTGGTGAGATGCTTCGAACAGTGTCTGACATATAATAAATGCTCAGCAAACCTTTTTTTTTGCAAATAAGTTGATCTCTGCACATTATGCAATCAGACTGTTTCATACCCCCCGTTTTATTGCTGAGGAATTGAAGCCCATAGAAGTTAAATTGCTTAACTACAGTCACTTGTTTGCTCAACAAACACTGAGCCTCTTCTATGCATAGAGTACTGTGTTGGGTCTGTGAGGGATCCCAAACCCAAACCCACTGCTGTCAAGTCAATTCTGACTCCTAGCGACCCTGTAGGACAGAGTAAAATCACCCCATAAGGTTTCCAAGGCTATACATTTTTTTTTTTTTTAATGGGGAAAGGTTGATTTTTTTTTCTTTTTTTATTGTACTTCAGGTGAAGGCTTACAGAACAAATAGTTTCTCATGAAACAGTAGTACACATATTGTTTTATGACATTTATGACATGTCAACCCTCTAACTTCTCAACTCTTTTTTTTTTTGGTGAAAATACACATAGCCAAAGATACACCATTTCAAACATTTCTACATGCACAGTTCGGTGACATTGACTACGCTCTTCCAATTGTGCTGTTATTCTCACTTAAGATGAAGGCTTACAGAACAAAACAGTTTCTCATTTAACAGTTACTACAAATGTTGCCCTGTGACAATGGTTAACAATCTCACAACACATCAACAGTATCCTTACTCAAGGGTTGATTTTTTTTAAGTTATCCTTTAGATGAAGGTTTATAAAACAAACTAGCTTCTCATTAAACAGTTAGTACACATATTGTTTTATGACATTGTTAACAACCCCACGACATGTCAACAGTTTCCCTTCTCTACCGTGGGTTCCCTGTTGGCAGCTTTCCTGTCCCCTCC